ATCCAACTCCTCCCACTTTACATATCCCTAAACCTACCCATCTCCACCTCCTGGATCAAATTGTTCCAATTACTCTTATGCATATTGTTGTTACATAATGTAGTTATATATGTCCTGTTACACATTTGTACTTGCACAAACCATTCTGAGGGTTGTTACATGTGTGTAGTTACAAAAATATTACAGCTCTAGATACTATGTACCAATGTGTACTTACACTGTGGTTACATACTACGTACACATCTAGTTACTATGTGAGTACACAGGTATTAGGGCCATTTAATATAAAGTGGGACCGTTTATTGAATTAAATCTCTTAATTAATATTGAATATGTGTTCCCTATTCTAAAGTGTAACCAATAATACATTTTGTGTGGTCTTTATTCAAGGATTATATAATTAAAAACACTAAGATTGTATCAGTTTAGCAATTTTAGACAGTAGACTGAAGAATCTGCATTACTTTGAATTAACTATGAATTTTGCCTCAATAAACTCCTAATTTACTGCTTTAATAATAATTAGTAAGGTAGTTGTTAAGTTTAGGTATTGGGTAGGATTAGGGAATTGGTCCCTATACTAAAGTCTTACCAAAATAGTTCACCCAAAAATAAAATAAAATGGTCATGTTTTAATCTATTATTTGTATACATTTCTTCTTCTATTAATTATATACATAAATAAAAATACACACATAATAGATACAATATAAATAAACAAACAGACAAAGAAACAAACAAATTTATATTCCAGAATGTTTTTTAAATAAATCTCATAAATTTTAATTTCATAAAATGACTACAGCAATGATGATGGATCAGTTTTGTTTGGACAAACAGTTATTACATAACGCACATGGATGTGGTTCAAACAGACTGTGTGAGTGGGACTGAATCCTTCATTCTGTTTCAAACACACACACACACACACACACACAGTGAGAGACTCTGACGGCAGTCACACTTAGCCATGCTGATTGGCACTCATTCACTCATTCACACGTCCACTCTGTGACACTTTCTCCCACTCATTTTCTTTTTTTTCCCTTCTGGTACTCTACTCTATATTCTCTCAAGATGCAGCTTCTGTTGTCAGTCATACGAAGACTCTAGAAAAAGATCGGCCCTTGTGTTCACCAAGCAATTTATGTTAAACGGGGTTGTTTTGGACCACAGAGGAGTGTGCTTGGATCGATTTATGTTCTGTATAGCCATCTGTCTGTCAGTGAAAACAAGGATAGGTGGATCTGATTCTAAGACAGCTCCGAGACATAAGGTAATTAATATTACATATCCTCTACAACCGGTTACATCCTAATGGTTGCTAGGACTGTGCTACATTTTATCTTATTCCTTTACACTGATTTAAAGGGACGGACGGACGGACGACAGACAGACAGATAGACAGATAGTCAGATAGATAGATTCTCCATAGTAGTTTAGTTCTCCAACTGGCAGATTTTTTACTTTTTAACACACATACACACACACACACACACACACACACACAAGGAAGTGTATTTCCAAGAATGTGTATTTCCAAGTTTGGCTAGGAGATGTATTTTAACATTGAAAATAAATAATTATATTCATTGCTATATTTGAGCAGTCCAGCATGAACCATCTCCCAAAAGTTATCTTAAATCTTAAAAATTAAATGGAGGCCAATGCGGAAGAAATTACTTTTTAATGAGTTTTTAATTATTCTTCTTTGACTTGGTTTCAAATAAAATAATTAAAAATCCTTGAAAAATGTAAGCACTGTATAAATTCTAAAGCCTGTTTTCAGAGAACATATCTGTTTTAAACAATGATCTGAAAATTTATTTTGTTTGAAGGATTTTTAAATGTTATAACTGGAAAATAAGACAGAAATACTTGGAGTGAGCACTGAAGTTTGATTTATTATTATTATTTTTTTACATTTATTTAAAGGAATAATTCACACAAACATGAATATTTGTTGCTAATGTACTCACTCTCAGGACATCAAAAATGAACATGAGTTTGTTCCTTCATCAGAACAGATTTGGAGAAAAGTAGCATTATATCACTTGCTCACCAATGGATCCTCTGCAGTGAATGGGTGCCGTCAGAATGAGAGTCCAAACAGCTGATAAAAACATCACAATAATCCACAGTACTCCAGTCCATCAATTAATGTCCTGTGAAGTGAAAAGCTGCATGTTTTGACTACATTGGTGCAAGAAATGTAATGCCAAATTTCTCCAAATCTGTTCTGATGAAGAAAAAAAACTTATCGACATCTTGGACAGCATGAGGGTGTGTAAATTTTTAACAAATTTTCTTTTTTTGGGTGAACTATTTTATTAAAGTCATATGTTGTATAACAAGCAGTTAAAAACATTATTTTAAAGCAGTACTGAAGCAGTTACACTATAAGAACAATGCACACAAAATGTTTTGGACCCCATTTACACCTGTAGTCTTAAAGGGGTCATATGATGCGATTTCAATTTTTCCTTTCTCTTTGGAGTGTTACAAGCTCTTGGCCACACACGCACAATGCATCCTAAGAGAAAGCTCCATCAGAAGTGCTCAGAATGTTCAGTCACACAATAGAAAGCAACAAGCCATTCAGAGACAAGAGATAAAGAAGAATACAAGATGGAGAAAAGAATGACATGAGTGCATGAAATACTTTCAGGTCAGAGAGAAGTAGTTGGATGGAACTTGAAGGGGAGGAGGGGAAAAAATGAGTTTGTGATAAAGGAAGGAGAATGGAGAGATGGGCTGGGAGGATAATGATGAGAATGAGTTTGAAGGTGCTCTGACAGTGTTCTTTAAAACACCCCTTCTGCTTCCTTCAACAAAAAGAGAGAGAGAGATAGAGCGAGCAGCCATCTGTCAAGACCTTACACTGCAGTCTTGCAGCTATCTGATTGCCGGCAGGAGAGAGCGGCCTGACAGCTCAGTGTAACACCTGCATTAGCATTCAGCGGGCGGAGAGAGAATGCATGTAAGGGCAGGACAGAGTGCTGAATCCTGCTGATATTACAAGAAGGCTTTTTAAGCACAAATTATTCAAAAGTAGCCTTTTTGTGAGGAAATTCACTTTCCTCACGCATACGCACAAACACTCAGGCTCCATTTTGTCCTTGGGGGGAAATAAACATTTGGTGCAGAATCGTCTTTGTTCTCAGGGTTTATTGACATTTCAAACAGATGAAAAATGCAGGGCTGCGTTAATGGCTCACAGTTTCCTTGCTGTTCAAGCAGGTTTTGCTGAATGGTTTATAGTAGATAAAGCAGGTTATTTATGAATATGGGTTACAGAGAACACAAGTCCTCACACTGACTGACCCTTGCGAAAATTACCCATGGTTTTACTACAAATAAAACAAGAAAAAAAAAAAACATGGTTACTATAGTTAAACCATGGTAGCCACAATTTAACCATTGTTTTGCTACACTAACCATAGTTTAACTATGGTATTTGTAGTAAAATTTTGGTTATACAAATGGTAATCAATACACCAAAAAACATGGTTGCAACACTTTTATTATAATAAAACCATGGTTAATTTTCGTAAGGGGAAAAATGTTTGATTCTAGTAGGTGCTAGAATGCTACTGCTAAAGCTGATTGACTAGGTCACTTTTACATTGAATTTCTGTCTAAACTTGAGTTTAAAGACTGAAGAAGAAACACCGCACAAGATATTAACAGTTGTTTTCAAAGAGTTATTTTTTTTACTGCACTTTTAGATTAGCATTAGCTCTATGCTAAAGCTGAATGACTTGGTCACTTTTAC